GTACCAAAAATTTGAGTATAAAAATGTGAATTGAATTCAAAATAAGTATTCACGACTATGAATTTAATGGACTCTCGAAACCAATGGAGAGAAAGGGTAGTGTGGCAAGAAATCTCATCCCATCTATCTGTGATTGACTCTAAAATTAGTACTAGTGGAACATTTGTGAAAAGAGAAACTACATCTAGGCTTATTAAGAGGGAGTTGTTGGGCAATTGTGTATTACGTATTTTGTTGACAAATTCGAAGGAATTTTTAATGAAGAAAGGAGAATTAACAGCAACTATGGAGAGGGGTTTGCTCAGAAATTTGGAAAATTTATTTAGTGGAGAATTCAAATCTGCAACTATAGGTCTAAAAGGTACATTGGTTTTGTGGATTTTTGGGAGACCGTATAATTTTGGGTTGTTAGGATGTAGGTTTTTTAACGACAAGGACAAGTCTTGTGGAATTTGTTTAGTAGAAACTAAATCATTAATGAATTTGTGGAACGTGCGGTTGATTCGATCTGTAGGATCGCTGTTGATAGGAGTGTAAACGTTAGTGTCATTAACTAGACTAGTGATTTTTTCTAAATAGGTAGTTTTGTCGAGAATTACTGTGACATTTCCTTTATTTGCTCTGGTTACTAAAATATTCGGATTATCTTTGAGAAAGTTTTTACAAAGTTTTATGTCTCTTAAAATATCTTTGTAATCAACAATTTTTTTGGAGTTAAAAGACTTGATGTAGGAGAGAAAATTTTTGCAAAAATGGGAACTGTATTATGAAGGCCAGCTTCTAGTCTGCTTAAAACTTTAATAAAATTTAAATTGTGGCAATTATTGGGGATAGCAAAGTTGGGACCTAGTGCAAAAATGTAAAGTAATCTATCTGGAATTGGAAAGCGTTTAGACTGCAATAATTTATCGAATTTAATTTTATAAGAATTTTTTAATTTAATGAAAAATTTGTTGTTACGCGTCGATTCGTATTCAGAAAAGCTTTGCAGAATCTCCGCTTCAACAGTATGAGTGAGCCAAGCGTACGTTTTATCAATAGCTACTTTCAAATTATTGACATTGCAGATACAATTCTTGATTTCGATGGATAACATATGGAGGCTTAATGAAGAAAATTTGTTTTTTATAACACCTCTAAAAAAACGTTTTTAAACTATCTAATGTTGAATTTTTCCTTTACTACAGATATGTTGATATAATTACTTGCATTCCTAAAAATAACTTTGATTCTTTACTAAAAAATTTTAACTCCTTTAATAAACACCTCACCTTCACCTTAGAAAAAGAACACAATAGGTCAATTAGCTTTTTAGATGTAAATATCATAAAAACTCCAGAAAATAAAATTATTACTAACTGGTACCAAAAACCAACGTTGTCTGGCAGATATCTCAATTTCCATTCTTATCATCCCACTAATATGAAAATCGGTACCATTATCAATTTAGTTGATCATGCTATTCTCTTGTCAGATAAAAAGTTTTGGCCTTTTAACTTATCTCTAATCCACAGAACCCTATTAAATAATTGCTATCCTCCACATCTTATAAAATTAGTAATTAACAACAGGCTTTCCGTCCTTAACACAAAATATAATCATCCTTCCCTCGAGTTCCAGAAAAAAGAAGAAAATAAGTTTATTGGCACTATTTGTCTCCCTTACATCAAAAATCTCTTTCCTATTTGAATTCGCGGGCTTGCGTTTAGTTTGCAATATTGATCAGACTCTTAACTTTTTATTTTCGAACTTAAAATCACCGACAAGTTTAGATCGTAGTTCTAACACCGTGTATAAAATTGACTGTACAAATTGTGAGGCCACTTATATTGGCGAAACTGGACAACATCTAAAAAAACGTCTTAGACAACACTATAACAACTCCAAAAATAAAAATCAAAATCAAACAATGATAACTGACCACATACAAAGTTTCAATCATATTTTCAATTTTGATGTTGCCACAATTTTATATCACGAGTCGAATACATCGCAGAGACGCTTTTCAGAATCATGTCTAATACACCTTTATAAAAATAGCTTAAACAAAAGATTGGATACTTCCTCACTGTGCGAGAATTACCAAGTAGTTTTAAACAATGTCTCGAAATTCATACCTTTAAAATAATTACCTATCCTGATTGACGTTTTAATTATATTAATTTTATTACTAATTTCTCTTTTACTTTTTCTTTTAATTTTTATCTTAATTCTACCAACTATGTCCATCCTCACAATTGTCATGTTTTTATATTTCACTATATGTACCCTCCTTGCGTTGTCAAACCTTAAATTCTTTGGTCAGTTCGTGTGCCTTGTACCTAGCTTTCAACACGTGGTGCGCACATTGATGTACATTCAGTCTGCACCCGTGCATCGGAACACAGAATAGCGGGATGTACTTTACATTTTCATAAAAAACTCATTCGAAAATTTATATATTGTTCAATTTAAAATGACAAGGATTGGTTTTTTGGTGCAATGTGAACATTTATAATTATGAAATAATTAGGATTAATTCAATTACATGTAAGTTTATACCATATAACTTCTCATATATTAGTTTTATTTAATAATTTCTATCTGTTCTTTCAAACTAGAGTCCACTGAAGATGATACAAAACAATGTGTCGAAACGAATGGAAAACATAAAAATGTTTTAAAGTCATACAAATTTTTTAATTTATGTATTGCCCTGAAAACTGAATTCATATATATATATATATATATATATATACTAGCTGACCCGGCAAACGTTGTTTTGCTAAATAAGGTATATTCTAGACAATTTCTAGAGAATCAAAAATATTAATACTTTAAGTGTATAAGGATGTGTTGTTTGAATGCTATATACAATGAAGTATTATAAAAACAATAAACCCCATTGATTTATCTATATTTTGTCAATACAATCAAACTGGAAGATTTATACACTTTCTATAGGAAACAATAAACCATCCAAGTCTTTTTTGGTCTTTCGACTAATTGATTACGTTTCAAGTTTTTCATATTGTTTTTGGATTCTGGATTTTGTGTATAATTGTAAATAATACTACTGAGTTTATACAAAATTTTCAAATTTTTGTGAGGAGAGATAGAAAAAAAATATTTAAAATTCAAAAAAGTATTTCTTTTTTTACCTGCTTTTTGAAAAGTTTCAAGTAACATTCGGTGAAAAAAAGTAAATTTAATATAAAGTATATATGTAGAGCAGGGCAAGGCGCAAAGATCCAATTTGACTTTGAGCAAATGTAAACTATATTGTGAAAACCATAACAATTATATCACAGCAAATAACACATATCAAACGAACAATTATCTGAGTTCAGTAAACTGCCTTCTACTTCATCATTGTAGAAATGTGCCTTTTCGATGTCTTTCAAAAATTTGGTATCTAGACATTTCACCCTGTAGGCGGGGTAACTTGAAACAGGCAGGTGGCAAAAAGATTTAAAGCCTTATTTAATTACATTTTTAACTAATGCTTAAAAACTACCAACGGAAGAAAATACTTTTATTATGGATTCTCAAAGATTACCGTTTATCTCCCCCATTTCAAAGATTACCGTTTTCAAATCAAGCTTGTAGCTGGCTATAAATCTTTTTCCTCTACTTTCAAATATTGTTGTTAAACAATGCTTAACTTTACTGATTTTTGACAAATCGGTGGTTGGCCTTTTTAACCCCGGACCTTCATATATTACTATCTATTCTGCGATAAATTCTGGGAAATTATAACTGGAAAAATGTTATTCGACAAAAGGTCCATTTGATCGATACCAAATTTAGGTTCTGAATTTAAATAACATAAATAAAAAATAATATAACCTAGAAAATGTTTTATAAATACCAATGAGCATATAATTATACAAATAAGATCTTTTAAAGCACCGTGTTTGAGAAAAATATGCCAAAAATGCATTTTCATATTAACATATCAAAAAAGTTTATATTTTGAGTCTCTAGTAACACTTGGGGCCCGTTTACTAACGTTTTTGTATATAAATAAAACTACAAACAAAACTACTTACTACAAATTTTTCACAAATAAATAATATTCGCGTAAAACATCCTATTAAACGTAATTGAACATCATCTGTCAAAAGCGTTTGACATTTCACGAAATTGCCAGCGTCCATTGTTCTATTTAAATTACGCTTCTACAAAAATATTCAAATTATAAATGTAAAGTTTCTACGCGGATTTGAAATAATTTCTCACCTTTTGGACATTCTCTGGATTGGCACGAATTTTTCAAGACTAAGACTGGCCAAATCGATTCAGCCGTTTTCGAGTTTTATTCGGACATTTGAAAGAGAGCTCCATTTTTATATATAAGATATATTAATTTAGAAATATGAACAAACAACACTCTTTTTTGCACTAATTTATTAAATAATAATTTTACAACGTTTCGAGACTAATGTATGTAACGTATTTACAACTTGTTAAGTTATCATGTTTATTTGTGTGTTTCCATCTGTGATGTTAAAAAATATATATTTTATCAATGTGCACATACTCATACCATGGATTAATAATTTTTTCATATGTTATATTAGGATACAAAATTGTAAGTGTTTTATTATTATTATTATTGTTGTTTTTCTATGAAACTTCTTACATATTATTCATTTAGTTTTAATTTTTATAGCTAAATTGATTACCACTGAATGAAGGCTAATATGCTAGCCGAAACGTATGGATTTTAAATAAACAAATTTCCAAAAACTCTCATATTAATTTTATTGATGTAAGGGCCGACTTTTTCACTCAAATTAAGCATATTATATCAACATCAAATTCATGACTATTTATATATATATATATATATATATACACATATATATATATACACATATATATACATATATATATATATATATATATATATATATATATATATATATATATATATATATATATATATATATATATATATATATGCAAGACACATACTTTATTTGCAGTTGTTGATTTTTTTAATTTTCAATAATTAGGTTACTGTACAAAATCGCGAAAGTGACTCTGTATCCAGACACAATCAGCCGTGCTGTAATAATTGAAAAACGGGAACGAAGGACTAAAGAGGATGATTTGATTGTTTCTTGGTCTAGAAGTACTTCATCATCTACTATATATAAGTACGTACATTGAATGAAATATGCATTTTAAAATATTATTTTTGGTTTTTATAAACGCAGTACAACTAACTAAAAAGAAACCTCGTTTGAGTATCTGAATATTTTCTCCGAGATGCTTACGTTGATTCTTAAATTATCTGTGCGATAAATTAGAATAGTCATCTAAGTCTTTTTTAAGTGCGCATAGGTTGAAAATTCATACTCCATAAATTATATAAATCTAGAACGACATTTAATTAATTTGAAATTAAATTAAAATTTAATATTTATTTAAAATTATTTTGTATTACCGAGAATAATCGAGAAGTGACTTTTTGTGAATTTAAGAGGTTAGGGGTACTTGGAGGCACGAAAAAATGAGAATTTTCGGTATTTTTTTTTGTTATTAAACTATGTTTTTACGAATATGTTAATACGGTATTATTATACAATGTTTTGACTTAAAGTAACAAAAATTTCAGAAAAAAAATTAAATATTCTCAAAGTTATAGCTGTTTTTGTTGACCCTGTTTCAAAAAACGGTGACCATCATAACTCCTTAGAGATTCATCGAAAATCAATCAAATAAAAAAAATAGTTTTATAAATAGATAATCCTGGGCCTGATCGAAGGTTTTCTTTTTTTTTGCAAAAATTAACAAAATGGCAGCATCAGAAAAAAAATCTAGATTTTTGGGTAAAAAATCAACAGTTAATTGGTCTTAAAAAATTGAAATTTTTGAAAAAATAAAAATCCTTCGATCAGGCCCGAGTTTATTATGTATTCTAGATGCTATATGAATTTCATTAAAATTTACTAAGTGGTTTTCGAGTTACAGTGGTCACCGTTTCAAAAAACATAGGTTTGAGAAAAACGCTTTTAAAGTTTCACATTGGATTTACGTACAAAAATTTGAATTATTGAATTACTTGAACCGAGTCATCTATATCTGGGCCATATAATAGTTCATCAGTCATTGTGCAAGTTTCCAAAATTTCCATTTGCTGTTGCCTACGAAGCATTATGGCCTCCTGAGTGTTCTCGATAGTAAAACTAGTATTCACGGTTTCTAGGTATATTTTTTACACTAGTTGGTTGAAGCTTTTATTTTTTTCTGATTATGGATTTAATCTTGAACTACAAATCTTGAGAGTAAATTATCATTGCTGAGATCGTCGTAAGTCGGTTTGAAAGCTTTTAAAACATCAAGAGGTGAGGGAAAATAATCTTGAGTATAAGTATCGAGCTCTCCACTTGCGTCAACGCGCTGGTAAGAGTCCAATAACTCAAAAAGTAATCATCGGATCAACTTGAAATTTTCAGAGAATATTTTCAAGATGTTACCCTTAATGAAAATGCAAAAAATTAAAAATAGATTTTTCAAAAATCCCAAGTACCCCTAACCCCTTAAGAAAAGATATTCTCAACTTTTGAAAATTCATACTACATAAATTATAAAAATCTTAATTGAAATTTAATTAATTTCCTCAAATAGTTTGTACTAAATTAAAGGCTTTAAGAAAGATATTCTGAAATGTTGAAAACTACTACTTTTAAATTAAATTAAATTTAAGAAAAATAAATGGAATTCTTAAAACTATTAATAGACAAAAACAACTAAGTATTACAAATGTAAATTTATTTTTGTTTATGGAGTTATTCATTTTGGTAAACTAGTTGGTATTGGTATTTTGCGTTGGTGCAAGTTACATGAACTTCCCGATATGTGTAAATAATGGATTTAATCAATAAAAATAAATTAATTTATAAGTGATTAAAAGTATTCCGAGTGGATTCATTACACATAATTGAAAACGAACGAACACGTTAATCAGGAGTATATTCTAAAAGCAAATTTTCACAAATTAATGATTTGTATAATTGAACCAGTTTCCGTAGAACTTTAATGGTTCAATATGTTCATTAAGACCAAGTACTCTAACGTTATACCAAGTAAATCGTCTAATTTTAATTTTAACAAATGTCAAAAAAACTACTCATTTTCTCAAACTTTGATGAATTTTTAAAGTTAAACTATATGATATATATCGCCAAAAAAGTTCCATGAAAATCGGCTTAAATTTTTTTTCTCAACAGTTAATTACAAGAAAACGGCTCGGTAGATTTTCACCTAAAACTAATCAGTATCATTCCCAACTAATATCTTTCGAACAGTTTTTGATTGTTTAAAATGGATTCGGTAGTATGAGATTAAATGTGGACGAAAAGCTGAACACTTTTTACCAAATTACAAAGAATCGGCTCGGCCGATCGTCGCACAAAACTGAGAAACAATCATCCTCATCGAGATACATCAAATGGTTTTTAAATTTCTAAAATCGGTTCAGGCGTTTGTGATCAAACGTCGATGAAAGTTCTAATTTTGACAAATGCCAAAAAGACCATACTAATTTTTGCAAACTTTGACGAATTTTTAAAGCTAAACGAGTTGTCGTAGGGCCGTAATATTTTAGTATGATCTTCTAGAAGATTATGGTATCTACCATCAAAAAAAAAATGATGAAAGTCATCAAAATTTTTTTTTGAAAACTTTATTACAAGAAAACGGCCCGTCCGATCTTTACCAAAAGCTAATCAGCACGATTCCCAACTAATATCTTTCGAACGGTTTTTGAATTTTCAAAATCGATTCGGAATTGCGGACTAAAACGTAGACGAAAAATTTTTCACTTTTCTGCGATTTATAAAGAAACTGCTTGGCCGATCGTCGCACAAAACAATAGTCCTCAACGAGATACATCGAATGGCTTTTAAATTTTTGAAATCGGTCCAGCCGTTTTTGAGAAAACGTCGATTTACGGCAAAAAATCTGTTCACATACACGCACACATACTTTTTCCAAATTCAATCTCATTCGATTCAGAATGGCTTGAAACGTCGAGAAAACATGAAATTAGCGGATCAGATTTTTTGATGAAAACATAAACTTCACCTTCGGGAAGTTAATAAGTACTCCACGTTCTTTACAGTGTTAATTCTTTCAATCGAGAATGTCTGGTATCCACAAAATCGGTATCATTCGACATAATTACCACTCCTTCTAATTTTCACGTTATTGGTATCCATTTGATTTAGCACCTGTTTCTCGTGTAGGTTTTGAATCAGACGATATTTCCAATCGAAGCCAATAATCTTTATTATCTCTATAGGTGTGTTGCTTTTAACTCTATCGAAGGCCTTTTTGCTTATGTACAAAACAGAAGCATCTAAATTTTCAAGAGTATTTTTGAAATCATTTTTCTCCACCGGACGTTACTTGATATCATGTATAGTTATACTTCTTTCTGTATTCGAATTATTCCGCACTATGTAGCTCGACCTTACTTTTGAGTCATCATGCATGGCCGGTGTTAGATGTTATACTCATCCTCCTGTAATCGTAGCTATTGTTTGCTCCAAGATTTTTCCACTGCTACCTTCAATGTTTTTTCTTTATTTTCTTGTTTCCATGGAACTTCTGGCAAATGTGCTGGAAGCTGCCTTTGAAATTAACCTTAAATACACTGGTGTAGTTAATTTATTCAACGCCGTTTCTACATCATCATGTCGCGCAATAAAACGAGAGCTTTCAAAGAAAACGTGTGTAAGTATGTGCATGTGAGACAAAATTTAACCTTTTGTTCACATTTCCTCAAAAACGAGTGCACTGATATCAAAAATTTTAAAGCCATTTGATTAGTTTTGCGAGACGATTGGTCGAGTTGTTTCTTGTGCAGTAATTGTTGAAAAAAAATTGTTTGAATGATACTTTTTATGGCGATAGAGACCATGGCCTAGAAGTGCGCAAAAATTTTGTTTGAATGAAACATTTTATGTCGATCATGGGGTCTAAAAGAAATGAATACAGTTTGAGATGTTAATAAATGTTACAATTTTAAAAATGCATAATAATTGGATCAACGGGCGGCGTTTTTTTATACGAACGCTTGAACTGATTTATATATACCTGAACTGATATATATATATATATATATATATATATATATATATATATATATATATATATATATATATATATATATACAGTAGAACCTCGATTATCCGGACTAATTGTTGTCGATAGGCATCCGGATAATCGAAAATCCGGATAATCCAAATGATGAAGAATAATGTTTTGTTTATCAAAAATAACAAATACATACATAGATATCAACAAAAATCTATGTTTATTAGAAAATTAACACTTGCATATTTTCTCACAATCAGATTACATTATACATATTATATTAATTATGAGGTAAAATATTCAGGTGGTACGTAGAGTATCAATAAAGAAGAAAAGTTGCTTACGAATAATTTGTTGATCGTTTTTGTAAAAACCAACAATATAGAGCTTCTTCTAAGAGTTAATTTTTCGGTCTGTTCATCATTTTCCGATTTTCACTCCCGTCTTTACTATCTAACTGGCAAGTATGCGACAAAATTGAATCGGCATTCTTTTTAGTATCGCTTATAATGAATGTACCTACACCATACCTATCAGCTAACTTACGGCCGGTTTCGCCTTTTTAATGATTCTATAATATTTATTTTATCTTTAAGGGATAACACCACCCTTTAAAAATGCATATATGCACGTCAGAACACACTAGTAAAATTGCAAACGAACTTCATAAAGCGATAATGCCGCGCGGGGCAGCAAAACAGCGGCGCGGGCGGAATATGCAAGTTCTGACGCGATTATGTCCGGATAATCGCGAATCCGTATAACCGAGGTCCGGATAATCGAGGTTCTACTGTATATATAAATATATATATATATATATATATATATATATATATATATTAACAAAGTCTAATAATCGGGCATAACATCAATAAAAAACATGAATTTCTTTCAAAAATTTATTTTAAATCCATACGTTTCGGCTATAATCCTAGCCTTCATTCAGTGGAAAAATTAGTTGATCTTAGTGTTAATTTGGAAAACTTTAGTAATCCATGGTATTAGGATATGGTAATGCACTACACTATGTATTATAAACATTAACTTGAAATTA